CCGCTGACTACCCGGAGGAGCGGTCGCACCACCATGTTGACAATGAAGGCCGACGCGCCCAGCACGAACGTCAACAAGCCCAAGGCGATGCACAAGACTACGGTCTCCCACCAGTATCCGAGCATTCGGACTCCTAACCGGTCGATCGCAGAGCCGACCCAGCCGCCGCTCGACCGAATCGACCCGGTCTGGGCCGCCGCCGGCGGGCTGTAGCCGGCCGCCTCGAAGGCCCAGGCCGTGAACCCCTGCCCCTCGTTCGTCGCGTGCGCCCGCGATGGGGGCGGCGGTGGGGGGGGCGGGGGAGGCGCCGGCGCGGCCCCCCACCGGCTCGATCGGCAGGCCGGGCAACCAACCGGCCCAGCCCCAGTAACCCGTGGGTCCCGAGGGGGCTCGCCTCGCCCACGCCCGTCCGATTGACCGGGGCGTCGGGCTGGCCCTTCGTGCCCAAGGCCGTCTCCTCGCCGGACCCCCCGGCGGCTGTGCTCTCTGGCGCGGGCGCGGGCGGGCGGCCTCCCCGCTCTCCCCCGCGCGCGAGTCCGCCGCTGGTGCCGCCCTCGTGGTGGGTCGTGGTGGTCGTCGTGGTGGTGAAGACCCCGGTGGCTTGGGCGGCGGCCCTCGCCCCTTCCCTCCCGCGGCCGCAGGCTTGGCGGGCGCCGTTCGCCGCTTGCCATGCCCGCCGCCGCCCGCGGGCCGCGGTTTCGGCCCGGGCTTGGGTGGCGGCGCCGGCGCAGGAAGACGCTGGTCCTCCGCGCGGCCAAAAGGCCACCACCCCATATCGTCCCTGGGGCCGAGAATGCCACACTCGCCGCCAGAGTTACAGCATGCGCCCCGAGGAGGCCCACAGCCACCAGCCCGCGCCACCGGCCCCGGAGGGGGCCGGTGGGGCCAGGGGGGCCAGAGTCCTCGGACTGCCGGCCACTGCGGGCCCAGGACACCCGATCTCGAGCCCTTGGCTGCAGAGACCAAAATACCAAAAGTCCCCCCTTGGCTACACTTAACCTGCAATCTACCAACAACTCAGACAATGCAAGAACATCGCAAATCGACATATTACATATCAAGTGCCGATGCGTTGATGCTGTTTGGCGATTGTGGCCACCCACGCTGGGAACGCCCAGACGACCACATGTTCCGTGACCCCCCTTGGGTGGCCCGCGCGCGCAAAAACATCTGGTTCGAGCTCGGGGCAAAGATGTTCGATGCTCCATGGGTGGCCTGGACACGTGACCGCATGTGGTTCTAGCTCGGGGCAACGTTCGATGCCCCCGCCCCGGGTGGCCTGGACACGTGAAAACAGGCAGCTCCAGCTCGGGGGTGCTACGTGAGACACTTCTCTTGGTGGCCCGCACACGGGAACACGCATGGTTCCAGCGAAGGGCAAGAAGCAACCATCTTGAATACTCCCCTGGGCGGCCTGCACACATCAAAACACCTGGCTCCAGCTCGGGCCCACCATGTCTGGTATCCCCCTGGGTGGTCTGGGCACGCAAGAACACATGGTTCCAGTGAGGGCGAGGGGGCACCATGTTAGATTCCCCGCTGGGTGGCTGAAAACACGCGGTTCCAGCGATGGGCAAACGTGTTAGATACCCCTTTGGGTGGCCAGGGCGCGTGAAAACTAATGGTTTCTTCCAGCTCGGGGCATCCGTGCTCGATTCCCCCTCTGGGTCAGTGGGATGCTTGGGGGGCGCCGAGACTACGTATCCGACTCCTCACTCTTCCCTGGCCGACTGGCCGACACGGCCGACTGGCCGACACGGCCGACTGGTCGACTGGCCGACTAGCCGACTGGCCAACTGGCCGACTGGCCGACTGGCCGACCGGCCGACTGGCCGCCGACTGGCCGACTGGCGAACTGGCCGACGGGCGAATAAAGCGGACTGGCCGACTGGTCGACTGGCCGACTGGCCGATTGGCCGACTGGCCGAGTGGCCGAATCCCCGACTTGCCGGTCAACCGACGGGCCGACTGGCTGACTGGCCGACTTACCGACTGGCCGACCGATTGGCCGCCTGGCCGCCTGGCCGCATGGCCGACTGACCGGCTGGCCAACTGGTCGACTGGCCGACTCCCCGACTTGGCCGACTGGGTCTGACGCTGACCAGTGGGTCGGCCCCATCGTTTCGCGGAGACCGCCGTCGCTGCGCAGAACGGCTCATTGGCCGTGGCGCCGCGTCAGATCATTGGGTACACGACTGGCCGACTTTCTGACTGGCCGATTGGCCGACCAGGCCGACCGGCCGACCGGCCGACTGGCCGACTGGCCGACTAGCCGAGGCCGACTGGCCACTGGTCGGCTGGCTGGCTTGGCGACTGTCTGTGACTGGCCGACTGGACGACCGGCCGACTGGCCGAATCCCCGACTTGCCGACTGGCCGATTGCCCGACTGGCGGATTGACCGACTAGCCGAACCCCCGACTTGCCGACCGATTGGCTGCCTGGCTGCCTGGCCGATCGACCGACTTGCCAACTGGTCGACTGGCCGTCTGGCCGACTCCCCGACTTGGCCGACTGGCTTTGACGCTGACCAGGGGGTCGGCTTCATCGCGTCGCGAAGACCGTCGTCGCTGCGCAGAACGGTTGATTGGCCACCTGCGCCGCGTCAGATCATGGGGCAGACGGTGTGTTCGCTCAGCGACCCGGTGAGCTTTCGACGCGGCGCCTTTACATCGGGCAACAGCCTCCGTGACCCCCTCAGGGCCAGGCCGTCTCACGCGCTGATCCCAATCTCGAATATCCAGGGGGGCTGCCGTGAAAGCGCCGCATTGCCGGGGCTCGGGCCCTGGGCGAGAGACCCCCAGAATTCAAACGACGTGGCAGGAAACGAACCGCGGTGTTATCGGGCCTGCGCGGCTTGATTGAGTTCCATCGCCCACCCGCCCCGCCTCCGCCTCGCGCCCCAACGATTTGAGTTTGCGAGCGAGCAGACTCAGCGCCTTGGAGACCTCGCCCATGGCCTCGCGAGCCTCGCCCTCAGGAGGGCCAACAAACAACGCTCGCATCCTGCGACGTTCGACGCGGTCCTGACCCGCGTCGTCGGGTTCTGCGGCAATCGATCCGGCAAGGGGGGCTCGGAACATATCCGCGCCAGCGGTGCCTCGTCTCGTTCAGGCGGTGCCAGCTGCCGTCCGCGCCCTCATGATCGCAGTCCAGCTGGATGGAGCGCGTGGCGGAGGTCCTCCCTCGCCCAGTCGCCCAAGCGCCCGATGAACTCGAAATGTGCGTTGTTCTCGAGCCGCCGAGCCGTTGGCATTTTCTCGAAGTCCCATCTCGCGCGGCTCGTGGCCCACAGCGCCAGTTCTGCGCGTTCAGATCCACAAGAGATGGAGCGCGATACACGTTCGCTGGGGCGCCGCCAGCCCGCTGATGTTTGTATCCAATACGCCTCCAGACTTGTCATCGCGTATTATGGAGAAGCGTGCCTGGTGGAACTACTAAGTAATCGATCCTCGAAGAAAGTAGGACCGCATCCGATCTCGAACCTGGCGCTGACGAGCGCCATCCCATGACGGTCCACCAAGTGGCTATACTCATAGTACAAGTATAATCATCCTGCTCCGCTCCAAACTGTCCAACTGCGCCTCGCTCACCATACTCTGACGTCAACCAGAAACTGAACGGTCAAATGCGACATAACAACTTCGTCCACTAATAACATGGAAGTGTATATGGTGGGCACCTGAGTAATACGGAATAAGTCAAATATGTAAATTTCAGCAACACCTTGCGTTCGTTATCATCTGTTTGACGTTGTAGCAAGTGCACTGATATGGTGAACAAATCACCATGACCACGCCATCGAAACCGAACATCACTCGCCCGAACAACTCTTGTTGAACTACCAGCATGCATCCCGTCGACATGTCGGTCCCGATCGCGGGGTCCTGCTTCCGCACGCACCCTCCAAACCCGACTCTTGGAGGCCAGAGTAGGCCATTCGTGCACATCATAACCTCCCCTCGGGACCCTCAGCTCCTGCAGCGTGCCGTCGTATGATGAATTTTTTCCTGCGGCCGAACTGCGCCAGTCAAGCTGATGACGTGCACACCGTGGAACGCGTCGGGGATCTCATCTCGACCCTTTCTGAACGGAAGAGCCTGCGGGCTGTGCTGTTTTAACCGAGGGCGCTGCCGTGGCGCAGCAGACGCTATGGTGTAACTGGATGCCAGCAGAGACCACAACATGCGGCCGGGCACTTCTCTGCTTGTCACCTCGCGTTCCTCTTGGGCACGCGTGGCTCCCCCGTCCTGCACAATCAGGCGTCGGACCGAGGAAGCGACGATGATGATGACGATGAAGAAGACGATGGCGATGATGCTGCTGATGATGATGGGGATGGTGATAATGCCGCTGCTGGTGCTGATGCTGATGATGATGAAGCTGATGATGTTGACGATGATGACGATGATGATGATGGTGGAGGTGGTGATGGTGATGATAATGGTGATTGGCAAGGTGATGCTGATGATGATGGTGATGATAATGATGGCGATGATGGCGACGATGCCGATGATTGCAATGCTGGCGATGATGACAGTGATGGTGATGATGACGGTGATGATGATGATACTGCTGCTGCTGCTGATGATGATGCTGCTGCTGCTGATGATGATGATGATGATTATGCTGATGACGATGACGATGACGATGACGATGACGATGATGATGATGATGATGATGATGATGATGATGATGATGATGATGATGATGAGGGAGAATTGCGGATCTTGCGACTGTGCTGGTTATCTATTATGCTATCAAATATCGCGTCTGATCTGATCGGCGTTGCTACAAGCGGTAGGCCGGACCCCCTGTGAGCATTACGTAGATAAGTTTCACGATTGCCTGTGGCCTTGCCGAGACACTCGTTGCCGAACAGGAGGGAGGAGGAGGAGGAGGAGGAGGAGGAGGAGAAGGAGGAGGAGGAGGGGGAAGAGGAAGAGGAGGAGGAGGATGAGGAGGAGGAGAAGGATCAAAGAGCAGAGAGGAGGCGGGTCTCCACTGCCGCGCACAACGCCTCGGCGCGGGCCAGCGCTGCACCCGAAGGCTGATGCTGTGGACGTAGAAGCCCAGAGCCAGACGAAGACCTCCTCGCCGCGCGGCTGTGGCCATGACTGGCTTGGCGGCGCGCCCTACCCCTTCGTGCGCGCTGCCAGATTTGATGCTCGAGATTCTCTTCACCCTCCTTCTCCTCCTCCTCCTCCTCCTCCTCCTCCTCCTCCTCCTCCTCCTCCTCCCCCTCCTCCTCTTCCTCCTCCCCCTCCTCCTCCTCCTCCTCCTCCTCCGCCTCATCCTCCTCCTCCGCCTCGTTCCTCTCCTCCCTCCTCCTCCTCATCATCATCATCCTCCTCCTCCTCCTCCTCCTCCCTCCTCCTGCTCCTCGACCTCCTCCTCCTTCTCGCCTCCGTCCCCTTTCTCTCCTCCTCTTCCTCCTCGACCTCCTCCTCCTCCTCCTCCTTCTCCTTCCCTCCTCTTGCGTTCCTGCTGCTGCACCCCCTCCGTTTTACCCCCCTCCATCCCCCTCCTCCGTCCTCTCGCTCCTCAACCTCTTGCTCCTGCTCCTCCTGCTTGCTCGCGCCGCCGGCTCCCGAGTGGGACCGGCACCCCCTACGCCGAGGGGGACCGACGGCGAGGCCTGCTCCTCCTGCTCCTGCTCCTGCTTTCCCTTCTGCTTCTGCTTCTGCTTCTGCTTCTGCTCCTGCTCCTGCTCCTGCTCCTGCTCCCTCCTCCTTCTCCTCCTCCTCCTCCTCCGCCTCCTCCTCCTCCTCCTCCTCCTCCTCCTCTCCTCCCTCCTTGTTCCTCCTGCCTCCCTCCGAGCCCTCCTTCTGTTCGGCTCCCCCTCCTCCTGCTCCCCCTGCTGCTCCTCCCCCTTCCGTCTGTTTTTTGTGGATAATTCCTCACCACGGGTCGAGCTCAACCGTGTTTATGTTTCCGTGTTGTGTTATTCTCTCTTCGCTCCGCCTCTCCTGCAGAACGAAATCAAAACGGAAACCGTACACGAGATCGCAAAAAACACCGTTTAGCTCGAACCCTGCCCTTCCCTGTCGCACACCCAGACGTGTCGGTAGGACGGGCCGGGCGTTTCGCCTGCGACTCGCTCCCGACGCATGATCCGGAAGGCTGAACTTTGCAACGGCTGCACGCATGGAGGGAACATCGTTTTCCAAACGGGGCTCCCGCCTCAGCGCCGTGCATATTTGTCCCAACAGTCTACAGCAGTTGCAAGTGCGGAGCAACGGCCGCTTTCAAAATAGAGCTCTCACCGTGGCGCCGAGCACACTCTTTTGAATGCTTGCAGCAGTTTCAAAGATGGGAGGTGGTTCTTTTTCTAAATGGGCCCCCCGTCTTCGCGCCGATCGCACATTCGTTCTAGAGGTCTGCCACAGCTTCAAGGATGATACTGTTCCCGTTCATCCTTTGTTTTCGCTTGAGGCTTATTCAAATCAGAAGCCAGAAACTCGAACATGTGCTACTGCTGCGCGTATGGAGAGCGGTTCCGTTTAGGGCTCTCGCTTGCGCCTTCCTCGAAACAACTCAAAGCCAGAAGTGTCGACAGTGCATCAGTTGCACAGACTGGGCGCGGCCCCTTTTCAGCACGGGGATCTCGCTGGACACCTCGATGACCTGCATGATCATGACTTCTCACATTCCATGTTCATCGATCGAAGGTTTCAGTGCAATTCTTTCTCAAAGCGGAGCTCTCGCCTGGATAGCATGTCCACAGGGCGCTGGTCTTTCAATGGGGGCGCTTCTTGAAGTGAAAGGGAGGGCCTGCATGGACCCATGAGCAGGGACTCGGAACGGGAGGGTGTCTTGCAGCACCGCTGATGCATCTTGGGCTTGCTCAGATCCTCCTTCTCCCCCCCTTCCCCTCCCCCATCCAAGTAGAGGCAGATCCTCCTTCACCTCCTTCCCCTCCCCCTCCAAGTAGAGGAACAAGTAAAACTTTAGGAGATCCGCGCGGACCTCCGAACTTGTCTGCTTATGCACAATCGTCTCCTTCGATTACAATGGCACAAAACATGGAGAAATCATACTTTCGCGGAGGTCCACGCGGAACCCCGAAAATAAATGACGATTCCTCTCCCTGTTCTTCGAGGTTTGGGCGACCCGCTCCTCTGGGTGAAGCCGTCCTCCCGCTTGCTAGAGCCCTCGCTGTCCCTGGCGCTGTCCGCGGCCGGCTCCAGCGCTGGCCGCGCCGCGGGGCCCCGGGAGCTGGCCCGGGCGATCGCCCAGGCCACCGCCTGGCACGCCTGGAGGGGGGGATGGGGGAACGTGGGAACGGGGAGGGGGGAGGCGGGTCGGCTCCAGGAAGCAGGGCTCGAGCGACACGGCGCTGTGCTTTCGTTTCCCCTCGTTCTGTCCTCGTTCCGCCTCGGCTGCAGAGAGGCATCAGAACGAAAGTGGTCCACGGAATCGCCAAAGCTCATTTGAGCTTGGGCCCTGCTTGAAGGGAGTCGGTCCTTCTTGTCGGTTCTTGGAAGCGTTTTCGCCTCGGGGTGCTTTCAAGGACCTGGCCTCGCCGATAGCGTTCTTGGGGTGCTCGGATGGTCCCGAACGGCCGCAGGAGGCCCGAATTATGGCCCGAAGCTCACTCGGAGGAGGGGGCGATGTCCAACCCAAATTTGAAGGGGCCCCAGGACACACAAATAAATACACACAAATAAAAAGATGCCCCATATTTTCCCATATTTTCTAAGTTTTTGTCTTCCCCCCCACTTCCCATATTTTCCCATATTTTCTGGGAATCGCCGATTAATTGTGTCTGTGTGTTTCTTTCCCTCCTGAAAATTGCCCACCTCGCGACACCTTTTTTTTGTCGGTCATGGTCGGCCTTCGGGGGGGCCCGCCAGGCCGGACCGTAACGGCCCAGGGACAGACGAGCCCAGAATCGAATCGATAAATCGGATCGGCGATCGACATGAATGAAGGGGCCCCAGGACACACAAATAAATACACACAAATAAACAGATTCCCCATATTTTCTCATATTTTCTGGGTTTTTGTCTTCCCCCCCACTTCCCATATTTTCCCATATTTTCCTGGGAATCGAGGATTAATTGTGTCTGTGTGTTTTTTCCCTCCTGAATGAATCAGATCGGCGGAAATCGACAGCCAAATCGGGAGAAACTCAATCGGCTGATACCGGCAAGCTAGTAAGGCTTGCATTGAGATGTCGGAATACACATCGGAATCTGAAGTCGAATCGGAGGCAATCGAAATCGAATCGAACTGAGTCGGACAAATCGAAATGAGCCCTGCGGGGGGTGAGGTTCACGCCGCGAACAAGAACAAGCCGTCGAGGGGTTGGGAGCAGCCATCGTTGTCCGAGACCGACCGCGGCCGCGGATTGGCGGCGACGCTCGTCGACAGTGGAGTCTGCGGCGGCACCGAGATCCCATCCTGTTCAAGTTGGATGGGAACTGGATGGAGGCCGCCCTGGAAAGCCTGAGCAGACGGGGTCGGAGGGGCGCACGGCACCGCCGATGCACCGCCGATGCATCGGCGACGCCAAGATGGGGAACATCGGGCTCGGGATCGTTCCTCATCGCCGATGCATCAGCGATGCGGCGCGATACCCCATCTGCTCCGGCCCTATCTGGGTGGACTAGAGGAACCCAGACAATCGGGCTCGCGATGGTTCCCCCTCGCCGATGCATCGGCGATGCAGTGCGATACTCCACCTGCTCTGGTCCCATCTGCGCGGCCTGGAGGAACCCAGACATCTGATGTCTTGATGTTTGTTCAATTCGAGGTCCCTGGATGTCCAGACCTTTTCCCCAGGGCAAGCTTGTCACCCCAAGACGTTTTCTGACGGCCCTGGGGCCTGGCGAGGGCCCGCAAACCCCGAAAACATTGAAACACCTCCATATTGAATTTTTCAATGCCTTGGAGATCTGGGACATCACCGATGCATCGACAATGCGGCGTCATCCTCCGACCCCACCTGCTCCAGCCCCATCTGGGCGGCCGGGCAGAACCCCGAGATCGGAGATCGCAAACAAATATTCAACATTGTGAACAATCACGACCATAGCCCTGCGCCCCATCTTTCGGTCGCATTTTCCTAGCCGGATCGACCTGTGATGATCCTGGGCCGCGAAAACGGGCGAAGACGCCTGGTGTGAAAAAGCTGCAACGCCCAGATCTTGGGGAACTGCTGTCGGTCTTGGCCAACGACCGACCACAACGATGTTTAAAACGACATGGCACTTGAAAAGAACATCCACTCAGAATCCAACGTTTGCAACGAACGTGTAAAACGAAACCGCTACCACACAAAAAGAACAACGGCACGAGGCGTTGAAAGGAAACACGGACACCGAAACGAACCAAGAACAAAACACGAAATGCAAACGCAAAGGCCCAAAATGCAAACCCAAAGGCCCAAAGGACGCCTGTCGAAAAAAACCTGCAACGCCCAAACATGAGGGAACTGCTGTCGGTCTTGGCCCCCAGCCGATCGGCCCCAAGTTCCTCCTGCACTGCGCGGGCGGGCGCCGTGGGCTCGGGCGCGGCGGGGGCTGTGCCCGGACTGCCGCAGTCCGACAGCAGGTCGTCCAGCAGCGAGCCTGTCCGGCAGAGCTGGGCAGGGAGAGCCCGGATCGGCGGCGCGCCCAGGAGGGAAACGAGAATGAGCAGGCCTTCTCTGAGTGCGGTGGAGCTTCTCAGGAGCCCTCGCGCCTTCCGATGAGTATTCCTGTGTCCTTGGGCAGGGCGCAATGAGCTTCTCAGAAGGCCCGAGGCCTTCCGAGCCTTCTGCGCAGGCCCGCCCCCTCTCACTGCCCCTCACCCCCCCCGCGCGCCGCCGCCCGGACCTCATCGTGTTGCGAGAACATCACGGACGGTTTTGGGGCATTTTCGGCCTCGGAGGGCCCTCGTCAAGTCACGGGGCTGTCAGGACACGTCTGAGACTGACAAGCCGGTCGTGGTGCCGAGACCTCTGAGGGTCGGCGCCATGGAAAAAACAGGACCTCGGGGGGCAAGGGGCTCCTCAGAAGCCCTCCTGCCCTCTGAGAAATCTTCCGATCCCTCCCAGGCGCCGTTCCTTCCCAGGCATCTGGTGCCTTGCCTTTTCAATGCGGGTTCCGAGGTCCGAGAAAACGCGTTTCACGGGCGCTTGCCTTAGGAACATTCGGCGGCGCGTTTCGAACCGGGGGGTGGGCCCACCCCAACACTCTGCGTCGTCGATCGAAACCACGGGGACTCCCCTCCCCCCCAACCTCCCCCCCTCCCGGAACCCTCCCCCCCCCTCCCAAGGGGGTGGGGGGTTCAACTCCCTATCTCCCCCTCGGCGCCGGCGCCGGCGCTGGCGGCCGCAGCAGCGACGATGACCAGAGGCAGCCCAAGGGGGGGGAGGGGTGGCTTCGGCGGCGCTGGCGGCGGCCAGCAGCGCCCGCGCTGGCGCCGGCGCGGCGGGGACGCAGCGACGATTACAACCACCACCACCACCCCTACCACCACCACCACTACCACCACCACCACCGCCTCAACCCACCACCACCACCACCACCACCACAACCACCACACCACCACCACACCACCACCACACCACACCACCACAACTCACACACCACCACAACAAAAACCCCCACCACTACCACCACCACCACCACAATCTACCACACCACCACCACCACCGCCACCACCACCACCAGCACCACCGCACAAACCACCGCCACCACCACAACCCACCACACAACCACCACACCACCACCACAGCCACCACCACCACCACCACAACTCACCATCACCACCACCACCACAACAGCAAAAACCCACCTTCGCTACCACCACCACCACCAGCACAATCTCTCACACCACCACCACCATCACCGCCACAACCACCACCACTACCAGCAGCACAACCCACCACCACCGCAAACCACCACACCACCACCACCACCGCCACCACCACCACCAGCACCAGGGCCACAAACCACCGCCACCACCACAACCCACCACCACCACCACCAAAAACCACCACCACACCACCACCAAACCACCACCACCACAACCCACTACCACCACCACCAAACCACCACCACCACCACAAACCACCACCACACCACCACCAAACCACCACCACCATCACCACCCACCACCACCACCACAACAAACCACCACACCACCACCACCAACCACCACCACCGCCACCACCACAACCCACCGCCACCGCCACCACCACCACCGTCGTCCTCGCCGACGCTCCCCGCCGCCGCCGCCCGCCGCCGCAGGCGCCGGCGCCGGCCAAGAAAAGGAAATCGTCGTCCCTGCCGCCGCCGCCAGTCGCCGTCGACGCAAGCGCCGGCCCGAGGAGTGGGGAAGTAGGGGAGGAAAGGGGGGGGTCTGGTTCCCCCCCCCTTCCAAGCGACCACAGAACGCACTCTTTCCGAGGTCCCGACCTGATCCCCAAAGCCAGCCTTTCCTCCCGAGTCGTTCTCTGACGGTCCTGGACCCCGAGCCTGGCCCCCAGAGGCCGAAAACAGAGAGAGCCTCAAACGTTGGATGTCTGTGCCTTCTCAGAGCACGCCAGTCTACGGCGACAGCACAGCCGAATACCGACCGAACTGCCAGCAAAACCGAAGCCGACCGAAACCGACAGGCCGCAGAGCAGCCCAGAAGGGCGCACCGACACATCAACGACACGACAACCGACCAGACCGACCGAGCGCAAACGACTGCGACGCGGCCGAACCCGCTCTCTGCGAGGCAGCTGCTGGAGAGCGAAACTGGGAAACGGGTTCTGGGTTCAGCCTAAGACCGCGCAATGCCAGCCGAGGAACGTCGGTTAAACAATTGGTGGCGCATGGTGACGCAGGAGTTCATGTGTGAGAAAAGAGTTCATTCAAAGCAGGATAGTCGTGCAGCGCCTCAGCGTGGAAAGACAACGTTGTCTCAGCTTCGTTCGAGTGCACGCCAGACATGGCGATCATCTGAATCGTGCCGTCTGGCCACAACGCCTCCACGACCCACGCTGCTGCCGAGGACCCTGGCCCTCGGCAGTCGCGATCTGTTCACGAGGCGAGGAGGCCGTGTGACCATCACTTCTGCGCGCCGCCGACCTGCGCTGCCCGCTGACGCCGCGCGCCGCGCCCCGGGCGGGGCGCCCGCGGACAGCCTTGAGGGGCAACGACGAGAAGAGGGGGACCGGCTCTGGCGGGGAAGCATCGACCTGGAATCTGCGATATGTACATCGCTGCAAGGTCGGCGGCAGGACGCCGATAGCGAATCCGCACGCTCCTCGGCGGGGTGGGCCATCAGGCCCCCATGGGCGATCCATGGGCGATTGGGGGCCGATGCGCCCCCACTGAGCCTACCGCCCGCAGGTTGCCCCTGACTCGGGATCCGGTTTTCGAGGTGTAGATTGGGCCTCAGGCGGCCGATCGCGACGATCCAAGCACCGGGGAAACGCCTTCGGCAAGGCGCAGCCGCTGGAACGCACCCCAAGGCTGGAAAGCCGCCGAGAACCGCGACGAAGACGCCAGAAAAGCTGGCACCTCGAAGCTCAGACATGCGATGTCCTGAGTTTCTCAATGCAAGCTCCTGGGAAATCACGACACGTGCCTCCAGGACCGGTTTTTCATCCAAAAAGGTCTTCTGACGGTCCCAGGGCCTGGCGAAAGGCCCCTGGAGGACGAAAAAGGCGAAAAGTCTCCCGCCGTGATTTTCTTACGACGCGAGCAGATCCAGATACCTACCAAATTGACTCCGAGTAGACGAGGTAGGAGGATCGCGCCGCATCGCCGATGCATTGGCGATGAGTCGGCGACGACGGCGATACATCGCTCCGTCGGCCTCAGAGAACATCGGGTTCCATATCGAACCACGTTCCCGATGCATCGGCGATGCGGCGCGATCCGTCGATCCCATCTGCTCGGACCCCAACCGGGAGGACTGGAATGTCTGAGAGCCCATCTCCCCCTACAGTCGGGCTGCTGAAATGACGGGACGAAGCCCCTTTCTAGCCCCAAAAGCGCCTGCGTGCACGAGGAGGGCTAGAGGAACATGCATGGAAGGGCCTGAGGAACATCGAGTCCCCTCCGAAACCTAACTGTTCCTTATTTCAGCGCTACCGCACTGCCCTCGACTCGGGCTTCGGTTTGCGGACCCCAGGCAGCAGTTCGAAACGATCTGGACACCCCTGGAACGCTCTCGGCGAGGCGCAGCTGCCGGAGCGCATCCCGAGGCTGGAGAACGGCAGGGCGCCGACGACGCCGTGGGAGCACCGCGATCCTCGAGCCCCAACCCCCGAATCTTGCCGCTCCGAGCGTCCTCGGCGACGTCGGCGGCGTCCGCGAGAGGCCCCGCGACCGCGCGGCCGAGGCCGCGTGGGCGGCCCCCGCGGGGGACCGCGCGCCGCAGGAGGCGCGCGGCCGCGCCGGCGCGGCGGCCGAGGCCGCGCGGGCCAGGGAGGCCAGGAGGGTCGGAGGAGGGCGCGGGGTCGAGGCGACCCTTCGGTGGCAGATCACGGGAGCCTCCCGTGCGTGCCATCTTGCTGGCTCTCGCGAAGCGACGCTGGCCGAAGCCGATCGACGCTGACTCGACGCTGACTCGACGCCCAAAATCGGCGTCATCTCTCACCGACAGCTGCACGCTGGTCGACGCGAGTGCGCTCTGAAGATGGAGTTTTGCCAGGGTATACAAGGCTCCCATGATTTGCCACCGAACGACCCCAGGCTGAGGGGCAACGATAAGGGATGGACTGGCTCGGGGGGACACACCGACCTGGAATCGGCGATATATCGCCGATAGATCGACGGCAAGTCCCCGACACCGGATCCGCACGTTCCCGGGCGGGGTGGGGCTATCAGACCCTATCATCGATCACCAGGCGATTGGGGGTCGCATTCCCCCCTGCGCGTATTCCTCACTGACAGGCGCCCTCGCGTCGAGAAAGAATGCACTCAACTAACAATTTCTGTAATGTTCGGCCTCTGGAGGTCCTCGCTGGGCCCTGGAGCCGTCAAAACGCGACTCGGGAAGAAAGACTGGTCGTGGGGAGTGGGTCGAGATCTTTGGGGGTCGATCAAAAACCAGATCCCAGACAATCTGATTATCTAATCTGGCGTTTTTCTCCGATTTCGGCCCTCGGGGGCTCGTTACTGGGCCCAGGACCATCGAAAGAAACTTTACCTGCGGGGCGAGAAGCTGGCCCTCGGGAAGCGGTCGGGACCCCAGGGGCCACGGATTGACAAACATCTAATCAGGAAATGTCAGAGACGGCGGCATTCCATTGTGTTTTTCCATCTTTTTGGGGTCTCCTGGAAGTTTCTCGCCGTCACGGCTGGATCTACCTCGAGGAACTATAAGTGTCCCACGTGGTCCGAGTGAATGGGGCCGGAGGATCGCGCAGCATCGCCGATGCACTGTCGACGCGTCGGCGATGCATCGGCGATGCATTGGCGACGTCGGCGGTGCATCGGCGACGCCAGTGCGGAGAATCTCTGGCTCCACGTCACGATCCTCCGACCCCATCTACTCGGATTCCATCTTGGAGGCCTAACGAAAAGGGCCAAGAAGAATCCCTCGCCATCGCTCAGACGTCTATTCCCCGTTCGTTGTTCGATATCGTGCGATTTCTCCACCGCAAGATGAGCCAAGATGCTCCGCGATGGTCCTCGCCGAGAAAGATTCGCACGTCCGAGTGATGCAAAGATCTGGGAGGCCCAGAGAGACGGGCCAGGAAGGACCCTGGGAATTTTTTCCTGAACTTGCGCGCAGCGTGCCCGTGGGTCAGCGCCTGTGCAGCTGCCGAGCCCGCCGCCGCCTTTTCCCGCAATCAGACACAGGCAGCGAAACCATGACTTGCAAACCGACACTGGGGAAGGGCTTTAGGGGAAGGGTTTTAGGGGACCGGTCTTGAGCGGGCCTGGGCCGGGCTGGAGGGCCGCTGCTGAGACCCGACGCTGCGGGAAACATACAGCATCGCGAACTCCACGACCAGAGCCCCGAGCCCTGGACCCCCATCTTGCCAGCGTTCTCTTGATGACTCGGCGTATCGACATTGGTCGGAAGTGGGGGATGGTGGTCTGGCTCTGGACCTCTGCTGAATGCGACTGTTTGCAACAGTGCGTCCTATCGGGGAGACTCCACCTGCTTGACGCAGGCGCCAAATACAGCCAAGATCTACTACATGGGGGGGGAGGGGGTGCGAGGGCCCGCGCCGATCGGCAAAACAATGAGTGAGAAAAGAATCACCTTTCTGATCCATGTTTCGAGCCGTATCGATAGTGGCCTCGTAGACGGTCTCCTAGTAGATGGGGTCGGATAATTGCGCCTCATCGCCGATGTATCGCCGATACATCGACGACGTCGGCGATGCACTGGCGTCGTCGGCGTGGAGAAAATCCGGCTTCACATCGAGCCGCATCGCCGATGCATCGGCGATGCGGCGCGATCCTTCGAACCCATCTACTCGGACCCCCTCTGGGAGGCCTAGAATCTGTCTGCTGCATTTTCCGAACCAGATCGATATGTGGGGGTCCCGGGGCCCGAATAGTTGGCGAAAACGCCCAGTGCGAAGAACTTGCAACGCCAAAATCTCAAGGGAGCTGCCGCTTATTTTTTCAATCCGCGGGCCCAGGGAGGTCCCAACTGCTTTCCCCAGGGTAGTTTTTCGCCATGGAGCCATTTTCGATGGCCTGGGGCCCGATAGTGGGCCCCGGAGGCCGAAATCGGGGAACGTCAATTGAAACAAACATATCGTCGGATGTCTGGGGTTGCCTCGAAACTGGCCCTTCTCCGAGAATGGAATCGAGGATCGAGACGGTGCTGTAGCCCGGGGCGTAGCAGAAGAGCACGTCCTCGGCCCTCTGCAGCTCCGCGGGGCAGTCGAAGGCCAGCCGCAGGGCGGTTTCGTCCTGTCCCCAAGCCCCCGACGTCATGACTTTCTCACAGCGTCGACCCCCCAGAAGTCTTTGGCCTCAGGGCCCGGGTCTCATGGTTTGGGTCTTAGGGCTCGGGCCTCAGGGTTAGGGTCTTAGGGTTCGGGGCTTTGGACCCCTCTCAAGGCCCAGCAGAGGGCCACAAAGGCCCCAAGACGGCCCTCTCGACCAAAGCTCTGGGATCGGTTTTCATCCCGAGCCGTTTTTGTTACGGTCCTGGGGCCTGGTCAGGGCCTCCAGTGGGCGAACACATGAACAGAAATCTCCGTCGCGATTTGTTCCTCGACGCGAGGAGGTCCCGTCCTCGTCCGTCCCCGGCGCGCCGCCCGCCGGCTCTCCAGCCGCCGCGCGGCCCGGCAACTGGAGGCCTGCTTGGCCGAGGGTGGTGACCTGGAGGGGAAGAGAAGGAGGGCCATGACGAAGACTGAGCGCGGAAAGGTGGGTGTCGATGCTGCTCTTCCTCGATCTCGGCCCTCGGGGGACGTATCGGGACCTGGGACTAGCAAGAACAGCCGCGGGGCGAAACAGGACCCCCAGGGAAGCGGTCGAGACCTCAGCGGCCGCGGGTCTAGAACATCAAACTGGCGGATGTCCCTAGGAAGCGCGATGACATTGACCAACACTGACAGCGGAAACTCGGGCGAACACTATGTCATGATAGGATTGGTTTAATATGTTCCTGAATTCCTTGCTGCTCCGCACGGGCTGCAGAAACGAGGGCCGCTAGATATTCTGGTGATCCTGGAACGCATCCCAAACACATCCTATCATGACATCGTGCTCGTCCTAATTTCCGCGCGCGGCTATGGTCAAGGTAATCCTGTTTCCCAAGGGCACCCACCAGTTAAATGTTTTCAGCTCGCGGCCGCAGAAATCTCTCGCGGCCGTTTCCACGACGGTTTCTGTCGCCCCACACTTGCTTTCGATGCTCCCGGCGGAACCCGATGTCGGCCCCCGGCCCCCGAAGACCGAGACCGAGGACAAACACCTGGGTGGAAACCATGAGATCGTCGGAGATCTGGGTGCCGAGCCTCCAAAGGTCTTTTTTGGGCCGCGCTTTGACTACAATTTCGAAACAAATCTGGCCATGGCGACGAGGGCGTTCCAGGACGAGCAGCGGTGCTGGTATCGCGTTCTCCTCTGACATGGGGAGGGGAGGTGGAAGAGTCTTTTGTTTGGACTCAGCCTGGAGCGCGCAGGGCATCACCTCCGAATGGGTGCCCCACCAAGAAGTTGCGACGGCAAGACGGGGGGCTCGAAATCAACCCCGTGAACCATCACACGGCTGGAGGGTGGCACGTGGCTCATCCGACCCGCTGGCAGAAACGGCGCGAGGGAGCTCGCTCCCCGCAGACTACCGTTCACAGTTGGGAAACTGCAGCGGACGAGCCAGCAGCCCGCTGATGATGCAATACAAGTGAAGCCCATGGCCGAGGGCGATAGCAAAGACAACCCAGCAAATCACCCACAGCCACGGACTGAGAACGAAGATGCGAACCGCTAGTCGGACGTGGGGGAAGGAGGAGCGTTGGAATCCACCAGTGTCGGGCATGCTGGGCGCGCTGCGTACTGACTGGAGCTGGAAGCTCTCCTCGGTCTTGAGGGCGACCGCAACTCGTCGCGCCGCCGATCGGGCACCTCTTCTGCAACTCTGTGACCTGAGACTGGCTGCTCTCGGGCTTGGTCACCACGGCAGCGGTGACTGCGGCGGTGATGTTCCCATTGCTGGCACCCTCCATGGCCTCAGCTCGGGATGCCAGGGTTCGCATATTGGCATCGTGACCCTCAAGCGATTGACGAACAGCTGAGACCGCATCACGGACCGAACTCTCGAGCGCCTCGATCTTGCGATTGCTCATTTGAATATATGCGATGATGTTGGTGATACATGAAAGGGGCTGGGCTGGTGGTATATTCCTTTCACTCCGGTTTTTGTCTCTGCATCTGCTGGGGTTCGAGCTGATGGCACGACTACGATGTGAAGAGCCTCTCCTGCGCGGTTTGGAAAGACTGGAGATGGCCCCATCGACGCGGGCTGGACGATCCACCTCGGCGCTTGCCAACGCGACGGCCAGTTTTGGAACCCATGGCGCAAGAGCGAACACCGAGAGATACAGTATACAACATGTGCAGTGCGGTGCGATGGAAAGGGAACGCGGTGGTACCTCGGGCTTCAGCAGACATGGCCACGGAAAGCAGGAGGACGGGGAGGAGGAGCAGAACATGCTTCCCTCGATGACCCTCGCCCACGAGGCGGGCTGCAGCACGCCGACGACCGAGGCGGCCACCACCAGCTCGGCGCCCCGCAGCTCGACGCCGACCACCTCGCAGTAGTTCAGCGCGTCGCCCCTCGTGAACGCCGCTTGACCAGAATTACAGAAAACCCAGGGCTCACTAGGGACTGGTTTCGTTCCGAAACGACCCAACCCCTTCTGAAACCCTCTCGGAACCATCCAAACAACCTCCCGAACCATTCTGGGAAAATTGTCGAAGAATGTCGGGAGGTTTTTGGTCGTTTCGAGGGGACAGCAATCCTTAGCGAACCCTCGACTTTCTATTTAAGGACCTCCCAGACAAGGTTCGAGTAGATGGTGTCAGAGGATCGCGCCGCATCGCCGATGCATCGACAACGTCGACGATGCATCGGCAACGACGGCGTGCAGAAAAGATGTATCCACATCGAACCGCATCGCCGATGCGTCGGCGATGCAGCAGTCTGAGAGGCCTAGACTCGCATCACCTTGGCCCCAGTGGCCGACTTACCAACCTACCTTGAATTGTGGGCGTTGCGATTTTTCACAGCTGACAGCTTCTTCCAATCCTGGGGCCCGAATGCACCACAAATCGATATGGCTCGAGAAATGCTTTGGCAAAATGGGGTCTAGGGCTCTGGTCGTAGTGGTCCACGAGGTTGCATTGTTTCCCGTGACGTTGGGCCTCATGGCTGGCCGACTTACCCACGTAAGTTGGGAAGTGTGCCTGCTCATTCGGTCCCGCGTGGCCTATCCGCACCTGAACGACACAACGAACAGGGCCTTACTTACGCACGATGGCATAGCGACCTTACGCCGCGGCTTAAGCGGACCGCCAGCGTGGCACACCGCGTGCAGGAGGGGCCGCTTGCGCGCGACCTTACGCGGGAAACTTACGCGCGAATGTCGGCGCAATCGACCAGGTTATCCGCCGTCGCTCACCTGGACAGGGAGACGCATGAATCGGGCTAGCCTGACGGGGGCCGTCCAGAAGATTACATAGCCAACGTGAATTTTGATGCGACCTACCGCTGTAAACATCTAATGAAACCTGGACCGTCAAAAAAATAGACGGGCCCGTCAAGAACCGTCGGCAAACCCGAGATGCCGCGAACTCGAGTCTTACGTTTCCCCGACTGGAAGACGAGCTGATTGGGCCCCCTGAAAATCAGTCAGGAGGGGCGATCAGCCAAATCCGCTCAAAGAAATTCCTGGACCACTCCCAGGGACCATCTGGTGCAACTTTTCGCCCCGGGTCCGCTTCTGTCGGTCCTAAGGCCTGAAAGCGGCCTTCTGAGGCCGTAAGCAACAACAGAACCTCCCCGAACCCAGAAATTCGAAACGCCCCCCCCCCCCCCCTCTCCTGCTTGCCTGCTTGCCAGAGACACTGCTGGGCCACCTCAGACCCCCCAGCCGGCTCCTAGACTGGTGAAGATGAATTTTCATGGCCCAGTGGCGATGGGGATAGTGGGTGGGCTGCACGCAAGAGTGACCTTTGGTGCGCGGCCTCCAGATTGTGCGGGGCACACCCAGGCGCGCAAGCCGCTGGTATCGCATCGCCTTCAACGAGGGATCATTCCAGCGAAGGATCACTCTTACGCGAAATTGAAAGCATTAATCAAACGATGTTGGCCTCGACACCGGCATGGCCGCCGCTGCGACATGCGCTGGCGAGCCCGCCCGCGAAGCACCCGCAGAGCCCCTGCAAGCAAGGCTGCCGCCACATGAACCTCTATGGTCGACCGCTGCCAGGTGTCCCTGGCTCGAGGCGGCTCCAACTTATGAGAAACATCTTGCATGGATCGGCGCGGGGGCTGCTGAGGGACAAAAAATTACCAATGGATGACAAGATGGGTTACATACAATCCCGGGTCGATTGATCACAGCTCCCTCCCTGGACGGGATTGGTCCCAGGGTTCCACAGCCCCCTCCCGATGGGATCAGGGGACGACGACGACGACGACGACGACGACGACGACGACGACCGAGACGCCCACGCCGACGGAAAACGACGACGACGACGGATGACAACGACGGACTACCCCACACCTGCAGCGGGGGGAGGAACACCGTCACCCTCCACCGCGCAACGCCCACTACCAAAGAAAGGGGGGCCATCCCATTCGCGGGGTCTTCGCGAAGCTCAGGGGCGTACCCATCCAGCGAGGGGGCGGGGGCTCGATCCCATTGGCACTGGGGGGGAGCCCTGGATCATGTATGGCCTACGTTGGCATATACGTGGGCTATAAAAGGCAGCAAAAGGCTTGCTGAATCGGTTCTGCCCAGGTAGCAGAGTTATCCGTCACCCTCCAGCCACCTGGGGCATGTGTAACCCACTTGTGTGCTGGGTGTGGGCCTATATAAACAGTCTTATCATCCACGTATAACTCCCCACCCCCTTGGGAGCCCCGCGCCGACCCAAATGGAAACCTCGCGCGGCAACTTGAGACCCAACTTACGTCATATCCACGCTGGCTTCACGTCGGATTTCCGTCGGACTTACGTCGGAACATCGAGGTGCGAACGTCGCCCAACATCAAACGGAGAGGATGTGCGAACTAGATGATGCAACTTGTGCGCGCCGCGCGAAGCTTCCAGGAACTTGCTCATAGTCCAGCCTCCCCAGGAAGGTCAACGTTGCTTCCAAAGCGCCCCTCGCAAGGCCCAGAGAGCCCCAAGGGCCAGGGGCCCAAAGACGGCCTGACCAGGGCCAGATGCTCGCCCCGAATTAGTGCTTTGAAGGCCCAGGGGCCAGGCGAGGGCACCAGGAGGCTCAAACATCCTGATCTGACAAGAACGGGGCGCCCCGATTTTGCCCAGGGCTCGTGGAAAGAAAAGAAGAAAAGGATCATGGCGACGACAAAACGGCAAGTGACGAGGATGACATGGATGACGGGGATGGCAGCGATGGGAGCAGAAGGACAACGAGTAGGAGGACAAACGCGAGGACGAAGAAGAAGAGATGGAAGAGGACGAGCACGAGGAGGAACGAAACGGAAGAATATAGCAGGATATCATGATAGAAGGGTCGATGAATCTATGTATCCTCTTGGGAGGTCCTTTGGGGGCCTGTTTGGGCCTCCTGGGGTTCTGGTGCGCGGACAGGTCGACTCGTTGGTTCGTGTTCCCCCTATCGGACCGATCTTGGGCGTTTCCTGTGGTGTTCTTGGGCCGTCTTGGAGGTCTCTTGGGCTGTCTTGGGGGCCTCTTGGGCCGCCTGGGCGCCCACTTAGCGGCCTCCTGGGCCGTCTCGGGGCGACTGTCGGGGCCTGAAGTCGTCTCGAAGCGCCGGGAAGCCGAAAAGGGGAACACACTAACAGAGTTCCATAAACCAATGTGAAATCAAAGCATTTTCCCTTTTTGGGACCCTCTGGTGCCTCTTGGAACCATATTGGAGCGTCTTGAGGGCGTTTGGGCCGTCTGGAAGCTCTCGTGGAGCGTCTCGGGGGCGTTTTAGGTCACGTGCAGGTCATCAAGATCGTCTGGGAGAGATTAGTCGACGACTCGGAGCTCTCTTTGGCCGTCTGGACCACCTCTTGGGACGTATCGGACATTTTTTGGGGCGCACCCAGGCCGCTGGCACCCCCATGCGCTGGCGGGCCCCGGGTCCCAGCCCCCTGGCCTCGTAAACTGGTTGTGTGTATATCTGTAAATGTAGATTTGTAGATGTGTACATCTATGTACGTCTATGAATATGTGTACATCTATGTACTTCTAGGTATACCGATGTGTAAACATACTTATGTTGTATGTGCATGCATGTATGCCTGGACATATATGCATACACCATATAATATGAGTATGGAACTGTATGTGTGTATGTAGGAGTGTGTATGTATGCATGAATGCATGTATGTATGTATGATTGTGTAAGTATGTATGTTTGTATGTCAATAAGTGCGTATGTATGCGCGCATGTGTATGTGTGTATGCTTGTATAGGTGTATGTATGTACGTATGGTTGTATGTATGTATGTGTGGGCATGTGGGCATACATGCACGCATGCATGCGTGTAGGTATATGTGGACATGCGTAAATGAGCATGCATGCACGCATGCATGAATGCATGAATGCATGTGTGTATGTATGCGTATGCATGTGTGCTAATGTGCATGCATGTGTGTATACATGTATGCATGTATGTAATTGTGTTTATGTACGTGTATAAGTATGCATGCATGCATGTAAGTATGTAATCATGCGTGCATGCATGTGTGTCTGACTGTATGCATGCGTGTGCGCATGGATACGGATGTATGTATGCAGGCATGTATGTATATATGAGTATATGCATGCATGTATTTATGTATTTATGTATGCATATACATATGCAAACATGCTTGTATGTATGTCTGTGTACACATGTGTGGCTGTATGTATGTACGGACGCACGCACGTACATACGTACGTATGTATGTATGTATGTATGTATGTGTGCGAGTGTATGTATGTGTGTATGTGTGCATGTGTGTGTATGTATGCATGTATGTATGTATGTATGTATGTATGTATGTATGTGTGTGCTGCAATACGTGTATATACGCATATACCATCTCCCCTTATCCACCCTTCCATCCCCTCCAAGATCTTCGACGTGTTGACTTTTGTTCAACGTAGACCCCCAGAAGCCTGGACCCCTTCCTCAGGACTGGCTTTTGGTCCCGTACATTTTCTGCAAAAGTCCCGGAGACTGGCGAATGCCACCAGAAGCCGAAAACTGCAAAACCTCCAGTCGTGCTTTCTCCACGACAAGATGATGCCTGGGCTCCTCTCCCCTCCAATCAAGATCTCTCCCCTCCGATCCCATCCCCTCCCCTCGTCTTCTCCTTCCTCCCTCCTCTTCTGTTCCTGCGTGCACCATCCCCCGTCATCGGCCTCCACCCCTCCCACAGTTGCACCATCCGCAGCCGCGCACCCTGGCGCGTGGAGGCGCGGTAGCATGCCCAGCGCTGTCTGGTAAGGTTTTGGAATCAAATGTTCTAAGGCCCACTCCCCTCTCCCTCTCCCTCTCCCCACGAGGCTCTGCATGCACCGCTTCTCCTCCCGAGGGTTCCTCGGCGCCCCGACGGCCCCCTCGGGGGATAGCCGCCGAGGCCGCCAAGATGCTCCAGCGCTGCCTCGCAAGGCACCAGAGAGCTCCCACGAAACGCTGGACACGTTCCAGGAAGCTTCCAAGAACCCGTCAGATACCGCCAGTACGCACTCCAAATTCCCCTGAAGATGCCGATCGCATTGCTTCTCCTCCGGTCTGCCAAGCTTTCTCGCTGTACAAAAGCCGAAAAGGGCCCCCTGCGGCTCCCCTGTTTGCTCGAGATACGCACCCCTCAAGATGGGCACGGGGAATGTGCGGCAGGTTCGTGCGGCGTCGGCGCTCAACAGTTTTTGATGTCGCGTCGTTCGTTCAACCTTGAACCGATCGCGGCCCCGATCGTTCAAAATTGCATTCCGTCGGGTCGTGTGGCGTCACCGTGCCCCTCATGGTTCCGCCTCGTTCTATCGTGGGGAATTCAACCTTGAACGCCTTCGCTGGCGTCGCCAACGCTCCATCGCAACTTTAATCAATCTACCGTGAGCCAACACGCTCCTTATATGCCGCAATATGTTGGACGAGAAAGCCATCCGCCCCGCGCGGTGGGGTGGAAGACTGCTCAGCGCCGTCCTGGGAGCGGACAACCTTTCTAGACTGCGGGTCCCGCGTTCCCAGCCTTGGCCGCCCAGGAAACATGAAGTAGGAAGGCGGATAGAGTAGCCAGGGTTCGGGCCCGCCCAAACAATAACGATCAACAAACACATGGAGATGCTTGAAATGGGAAGACGCTTGAAGTAGATTGGGACCTGGGAGTCCCAGAATACCTACTTTCAACGGCTGGCGTGTAGGGCGAGAACGATGTCATGATAGTATTGGCTCAGGATACGTTCCAAGATTTCCCGACTCTCTAGCGGCCCTCACCTCTGCAGCCCGTGCGGAACGTTGGAAAAGCTTGGAATTCCTGGAACGTATTACTATCATGACCCCTTGCTCGTCTGATGTAAACCCATCTCAGGCACGACCTCTCCAGGGGCACGGAGCAGCCATTGCACGAACAGACCGGGCAAAAGATCGCGCGGCCAAGGTGACGGGCGAGGGGTGCGTTACCTGGGGCAAGAAAAACAAGATATGGGGCCCGACAGCTGATACTATGAGAGCGAAGTGAAGAATAGCAGCGATGTGTGGAGCTTCATCGAGAGAATGGCCGTTATGTATCACTTGCTACCTATACCCATGTTTGCATATTCATACATGCGTGTTACCACACGACTTGGAACACCAATGTGAGGCCCAGACGGGGACGACCGGCAACGGTGGACTCGGGAACTCTTCTCCACTATCGCTGGCATCACTAGGACAACAGACCAGCATGGGTTCTGCAATTGCTATACCACGACCTGCAGGACCCTAAATCGTATCAGTCGACTACTGGATGACGCAGAACTATTCGCCACCCCATCCCTACTTATGTATTGCAGGGTAAGATACACAGGAATCGATTTCTCTTCACCTCCACGGATGTCTGTTATCATCCGAGAAGTCATGCAACTCCCGCCTCGAAAGACACTGCCTTCGGGGACTTACCTGGTATGTTCGTGTCGTGACGACTTCGACTCC